GAATTATTTCATTTACAAAGAACATGAAATCAACGCTAAGCCTCTCTAGGAACTTGAGATTATGGTGTATATTTCCTTAAATATCACCATATAGTCTACTCATAGAGACTAAATGTTCAATGATGAGGGAAAACATTTATTAATTTTAAAAGTTTTTATGATATGATTCAGTTAACAGTTTTAATGTACCCAAATTTTTAATGGGCCTCCTCAATTATTTGAAATGAAATAGAATAATATAATCAAGAAAATTTAGAACTAGAAGGGATTTTAGAAATACCTGAATCCACTCTCATTTGACTGGTAAAAAAATACCAAGACCCAGGTTAAGTGACTTGCTCCAAAGTGACTTGCTGAGCATTGCTAGCATTTGGACCTAAGATGCTTAACACAATTAAGGTCCTTTCAAAAACATCACTGTCTTTATTTATTTATTTATTTTATAAAAAGGCAGTATGAATGGAAAAGATACTGAAGTACAGAAATATTATAGTCAGTGTAGCAAGATATTTGTCTCTAAAGCACAACTCATCATTTGATATATTATTTTTCTTTTTTCTGTATCTCAGTTTAGCCCTTTGCCACATGTGGCTATTTAAAATAATTAAAATGACTAAGTTAAAATTTTTGTTCCTCAGTCACTCTGGCCATATATCAAGTGCTCACAGGTGCTCAAAGCACTGAAGCTACTGCATCTGACAGTGCCGACTAAGAACATTTCCACCATCCCAGGCAGGGCTGCATTAGAATGCCAGGTCCACAGAAGAGAGATTTTCATTAGTTTGTTTACTGATGTGGCCCCACATCTGAAATTGTGCCTGGCACATAGTAAACCTCAACAGATATTTGTTGAATGACTGAATATTTCTAAAGGAGATTTTGTACAACTCTATGAAATGTCCAATCAAAAATATGGCAATGCAATTTTTTCCTCATTGGCTTACATCCTAAAAGGATGTAACAAAACAGCTGTGAAAGAATTAGATATGTTTTGAGAAACATAGTAAAAAAAAACAACTCTATATTATAAACTGTAACTTAAGTTGAGTAAGACTGCACAGCATTCACTATGTAAATTTTTCTTAGTTTGGGAAGGAGAATGAATTTCTTTTTGTCAGACACTTAATTTGTTAATTTCCTTTGTCCTATAATAGTAGAAACTAGTTGGAAATACATATATCCAAGAATATACTCATAATTCAAATTCATAAAGAAATAACATATTTTGCTTTTTTAGATTTCACATAGTAATTTAAATACACTAATAGTATAATTATCACTAAGAAACAAATACATAAGGAGATCCCAGTTGATGGAAAGGGATCTTTTTGAACTGGCAAAGAAAGTTACTTTATGCTTTCATCATTAACCACTAATTTATGTTAAACACATGGAACATATTTAATTTTTAAAGTTAGAGATTTGCTGTAGTTATCCTCCTTACAATTTTAGCTATAAGACTCCCGCTATTTACTCAATGTAGAGCATATTTCTCTTTATGCAGCTGAAGTCTGTCTCTTACCTTTTCATATCCTCATTAAATAAAAGTCAAATTCTACACATGAAAAATTTTACAAAGAAAATTATTGGTAAAGGAAATGCTAAATAGCATTTGTCCTGGATAAGAGAACTTGTGAAAAAGAGTAAGTATGTAAGTATGTAACTTGTTTAAAATACCTTGGCTATATGGGACTATAGTAAATTTATTTTCAGTATAAAAGTAAATGTCCCAATGATTTTTTTCCCTGCTCAAATGCCTGCTGATTTTTTTCTGAAGTGATGAAGTAAATCCTTTTAAAGATTTGTCTATACTCAGCATCCATTATATTTTCCCTTTATATTGTAAAAACTATACATTCAATATTAATAAAGGATAATATTACATATTGAATAACCAGAACTAATATATTTTTTTCTAATCACAAATTATTACCTGCTCAATACAAACTTTAAAAATAAAAAAAATCATTCATAATCTTACCACTCAGAAATAAAGGATATGGTTCTTATACTCTTTGTGACAAATGTATGTTTATAGATGGAGGCACATGAGTGGAGGAAATTCGCTGAGTATGTACAGTAATATAGCAAAGGTGTTGTACTATATACATCTTGTGCTTTCGTTTTCACATTTATTAATAGATCATAAACATTTGATCATATCTATAAATTTAATTCCATAGCATGCCCTTTAATAGGTGCATACTATTCACCATTTAGATATACTATAATTTATTTAACCACTTATCTATTATTGGACAAATATTTTTGAGAGTTTCAGCAAAATAGTTAGATGTTATGTGCTTCTGAATACCCAACTCAGCTTTAAAATATAATATTGTCAATAGCATTAATTATGTGTTATTTCTATTCACATACCTGTTGACAGAGTTTTAGGAATGGTCAGAAATAGAGTATAAATTCTCAAAATTCTATAGGATCAATAAGTCAATAGTTTATTCTTGGTTTCACTCATTAACAGTCTATATTTCTGGCTGCCTTGGTTTTCTCAGCATGGCGTTGAATGAATATTGTGAATTTTTCTGATTAGACATTTTATCTATGAGGAGGATAAAGACCTGCTCTATTCCAGGTTGTGGACACTTCAACACCAATGGCCCATTCTGACAGCTGAACTAATTCCAGCGTAAAATTGTATAGTAAAAAATGGTTTTTGGACTTAACATCTGTGCTTCATATGTTTTCTCATGTATATTTATTCTTTACCAAATTGTATATTTTTGTAAGTTGACTTTCCTTTCATCATTTTAGAGACTCCTTCATATACTTTTTTGCATAGTGATACTATAGCATATTCTAAATACTCAGTCCTATGAATATACAAACAATATAAATATAAACTATTGTGAATCACTATAAATGAAGACCAAATAAAAACTATTTAATATATTTGTGTTTTTGTATACATCATTTGAATTAATCACCAAAAACAGTTTTGCCAAATCTACTTTAATGACTACATAATGAAACTGAAGAACCGTTTTGTTGCTTGAAAGGGTCATGCTCCTAAATAGGTTAAACAATTCCTAAAACTGTATGTTTACACTATTAACAGAATTAATATGCTTAGAAAATTATTTTTGAAAATAGTATAAATGTAAATTATTATAAATTTGAAAGTTAGATGTTTGAATTAATGAAGTTAACTAAATATTTGTTGTTGGGGGGTGGGGGGGGGGACAAAAAAGGAGCCACTCACAGAAGAGTACAGTTGTTTTAAAATATCCTTAGGTAAAGATTTTGAAATTCTTGAGGAAAAAGTGCCTGTATCATAACTCTTTATTACCTTTAACTCTTTGCCTCTTTTATAAATCCAGATGTATTATAAACTTGTTCTTTAAAAAATTCTAGATTTACAATTCCACATGCCCACAAACAATCCACTCCTCTTCCTAAAGTGTTTCATGTTGTCAGTCTCTATAGATACGGAGCCTAGCACAGTATCTTATAAATAGCCGGCATTTCAACAAGGTCAAATGGATGCAACTCCAATGATTCTGTCAGATTTTCATTATTGATATGGAATACATGAAGTTAAAAATTCTAACAATACACTACTATAAGACATTCCCATTTCTTTCAGAATTTCATGAACCTCTTAGATGTATGTAACATACAAAGTTATGGATGGGAGTCTAAAACACCATGAAGACTTCAATAAAAGGTGCAACTTCTTGTCTTTTGAAAAGAAACTTAAAAGACTCAGGCGCCTATTTAAGCAGACATGTCAATATATACAGGTTCACCCACAGAGAAAACAAAACTCCCGTATGTTTGAACACTTGGCATCTGTGCAGGCCCTTTCTTATTTCATGCATGTTCCCACAGCCCTATGTTCTGAATGCAAATTCAGTCTGGAGGAGAAAACTCCTCCAGCTGCTGATGTGAGGACTTCCAGCTCTGCGTTAAGGCTGTCCCCAGGGGGGGAAGGGGGTGCTGGCACTCCTTACTGTGCACCAGGAGCAGAGAACCAGCAAACGAGGGCACTTGAAGGACACTGCATAATCTCAGTGAGAGCTGAGAGAGAAGCAGACTCTGTTGCTATAAAATGTATTAGGAAGCACAACTTTCTTATCTTGTTGGTCAGGAAGGAAAGTGAAAATAAAGCGTAAGAATGAAAAAGAGAACTTATTCTGATAACGGGTTTACTTTAAATCTAGGAAAATGCTGAGGTATACAAATAACAGAATTAGAGAAAGTGACAAAACAATTATCTTGACATAACTATTCCATACGGTTAAACATTTCATTTCTTCTTGTGTTATCTGTATCCTAAAATTAAACTATAAACTTCTTGCAAGTAAAAATTACACTTTATTTGCTTCAGTGAATAAATATTTATGATGCTGATTTTAAAAAAAACTATCCAAGGACAAAAGTTTATAAAATCTCAGAGCTTCTTTTTGGTAAAATGTTGGAAGATCCGTTGTTAATTATTTATGAATAGAGCTAACCCTTCTAGAAGCAGCTAATTATATGTCTGGTTTGTCAATTGGGCAAAATTGATGTAAATGTTATAGCCACGATACTGAAAACATATTTGAAAAATAAACCAAAGTATGTGCATAGAAAAGTGTATTGCCATCCTTTAAATGAGAGTATAACCAGCATTTATGAAAATTATACATATTTAAAAATTAGGTTCAAAGTACATGGTCGACTCCAAGAGTCAGCAAACTTTGCAGGTCTCTCTCATGATCACTTGATTTTCCTTTGAAGCCATAGACAATACATAAATGAATTAAGTGTGGCTGTGTTCCAATGAAATTTCATGTGCAAAACAGTCATCCAACCTATGGGTCATAGTGGTCAACCCTTGAAGTAGATTATATATTACTAGTAGTAGCATTAAATGAGATAAAGGGTAATTTAATATTTTCATAGGTAAAAAATATTTGTGACATTTTCCAGATATTTATTGATTCTTAAAAAAACAAACAAACAAACGAACAAAAACTTAAGTAGCACATAAATCTTACCTGGTTAGGTATCCTCAATGGGGGCCTTGGACCTCCAGGGTACCGAGGTGACATAAAAGGCTATTGAAATAAAACAAACAAATAAACAAAACCAACCAAACAAACACATAAAAAAACAGCACAGTGTAAAATACGGATCTGAAAATAAACTGCTTTAAAAATTTTTAGAATTATACAAAACATAAATCAATTTACTTCCATATGTGATTGCTTTAAGTAGAATAAATGCTTTGAAGAAAAATTACCATTATATTTTATTTTTCTGTAGCCTATCTGGAAAATTTTCTGAGAAAACTGTAAAAAACACCAATATGACTAAAGCATAGTAAAACAATTTTTAAATGTGAATTATTATTAAGGTAATGATATCTAATTGGCAAAAAGAATTAAGAAATTTAGGCAATTGAAGCTCAAGGACTTCAGGAAGAGGCTTACTGGCTACATCATTATACAAATCGGGTTCTAAGTACATGCTTTTGACTGAACTATCCAGTTTTGTTATCAATTTCCTTTCATAATTTTAAAGTTGCCAACTTTCTTCACCCTTTCTTTTGTAGTTCTGTTTAAAATGATAACGATATTTCTTTTCTAAGAGTCACTGTGGTAAAAAGAGCTTTGGCTTTACTGCATCAAGGGTTTGTTGTGATTCAAAACTGATTATAAATGTTTAAAGTTGAAATTTTTTATATATTTTGAGCCTAGCAGATTATGAAGTGTGTACCTTTAACAAAAATTGGTCTCATATTAAAATCCTATTCAATTTATGTTGTTAGATGAATCAGAAACTGCTTAAGATATGTTGATTCTATTAGTCCAAGAACCGTCTGAAAAACATCCTAAAAGTATCATTTTAGAGATTAGTCAATGTTGAGTGGAAGGAGAATATTTTTGATCAGTCAGATTTGGGCACCAAAATTTTTGAAGTTATTCCTAAAATTGTTAAAAATTCAATGTTTATTATATTTTTTATAAAATAATTTTGTCTACTTATATCACAATACATAATTCACTTAAATATAAGATTATTCCTTTCATGGAATATAAGCAAATTATCAACTATAAAGTGTTGAATATTATAAAGTAAAATATTAAGAATGAACTAATATAAGTTCATTAAGAATGAACTAATATAAGTCAATTTAACAAAGGCTTGCGCAAGCCAGATTTATAGTACTTTATATAACTAAATTCCACATTTATAATGTGTTTTCTAAAAACATTTTTAGAAAATAGTTCTGTAGTTCATGGCTACATATATTTCCCAGGGCTATTTTAAAAGTAGCATCTGAAAAATAAAATTCTAACATATTTAGGCTGTAAAGCATTTTTAATATTAAATTAGTGCTGTTATGACATAAGCTCTTAATATTCAAATTGATCCTTACATTAAGTTATCTGTTAACCATTTATGTCCTCAACTGCTTACTTGTTGAGGTAATGACACAGCAACAGAACCCAAAAGAGTTTGTATACTAGCAACTGAGAATATTCTATACAAATATTTGTACTTCACTATTCAGAAGTTAATCTACTTTCAAATATAATTTAAGATAGTAAAACAAATTTAAATTATTTATGGTAAAATATGAATCTAAGAGATTACCTATAACAATATAAAGTCCATCTACTGACAGATGTGAATACTCCCTACTTTAATAACCTCAGAAGAGTAGGTTCTTCAAAAAAATCCTTGGCTATGAAATGTGCTTACTCTTTATATTTGGTGCAAAAAAATTTGTTTTAATAGTTTGGGCATCAAATACTTGCATAAAGGTGTCATGAGGTGAATCAATATTTTAACTGGAAAAGCCTTCCCCTTGAAAAAGTTATTCCTGTGTGTGCAAAACACATTTGAGTAGAAGTCAAAGCTCTGGATTCTAGCTTTTGCATTCCCACTAATTAACAGAGGGGCCTGAGCCAATAACCTTTCTGCGCTTTAGTTTTTTCAACCTTAAAATGAGTGAGTTGGACTAGATGATCTCTAAAAGTCCCTTAGAAAATCAACAAAATAAAACCCATGATTCTGTGTTGATTATTCCCAGCACTACCTTTAAGTATAAATATTAGTGTATTGTAAATATCTATAAGTATTTGAAGTGTGTGGGAGTGGGGAGGGGCAAGGGGTAGAGTTATAAGCATATGTTCCTAAGGCACAAACCACCTTTATTGAGGAGCTGGAAAAACTTATTTCCATTTCCAGAGAAAATGGAAAACCCACTTGAAGAAAAAAATACTCCAACAAACAATTATGCCCTTTGTTCAGAGCAAATGTCAATAGGGAGAATTTTAAAAGCTGTACTTATTGATTAAAAGGTGTGCTAGAGATTAGTTCATTCAACAAATATTTATTAAATACCTACGAAGGCACTGTTCTAGTGGTTGGACATATCAGTGAATAAAGCAGATAAAGATCACTGTCCTCTGCTTAGGATTTTTCAAGGTTCACAGTCTTGTAATTAATAGGAGAAAGAATTTTCTGGGAAAATTGTTTTCTACCATCAGTCCACTAATCTGGAACAAATAGAATGTTCTCTTCACCAAATGGCAAGTATCGATGAAAACTCGAAGAAAATAATATTTCAATCTGGTGCCTTCCCTCAAAAGTCATATTACATCATCCCTAGTTTATAGAGCTATTAAAAAGTTTTCCAAATTGACAAAATTCATGGAGTAAGATTCTTTATATGATAAATAGAGTAGTACAGTTAGCACTGTGAACTGGAAACTACATTTACAGGCATAAATTCTTGTTTCTACGTTTTTAAGTTGTCTGCCCAGAATGAATGGGATAACTCAAAGTGAATAAAAATATATACAAAGTCAGAAAAATCAATAAATATTTGATGACAAAATGAAAGGGAAGAAGACTAACAGAAATACAAATCAAGTGTCCATCTCATTTCCTCAAAATAGTCTCTTAAAGAACAACACAACATTTATAATCATAATTTACTTCAGCATAAATGTCATTCAATTTTAAAAGATTGTTAGTTTCCATTATATCAAGAATTATTCATGGACTTCTACACTTCTGCTTTTCTTACATTCTGTTTTCTAAAGAGAGATTTTCCTTTCCTCATTGCCCTTTCTGCTAGTGGGAAGCAGTAGTCTCCCTCTTACATGGTCTTCCACAGGCAACTTAGTGTTTTATCTCAATCCCTAAGATCAGAAGCAACCAGTCCTTCCTCTTTCCCCACACTAGTTGGAGGTAGATTTCTCAGTCCAATTCTTTCCTTCTCTGAAGATCCCAGACCTCCCTCCAAGGGAATGGTTTCATAAATAATTTACCAGTACTAAAATTACAGGTGATAAGGACCATTTTAGGCCCTCACTCCTTACAAGATCAAAGTAGACATCTTACATTGCTCAAATGTTGTTAACATTTTCTAACATTAATAGCTTTTAAAAAACCTATAAATATGATTTATCCACAGCAGAATATTCTCTATTTCTTGAGAATACTCTGTACTCTCCTTTCTCTGCCAAGTAAATTTCTATTAATCCTCCAAGGGCCAGTTTAAATGTCACTGCCTCTTTAAAGAATCTTCCTAGGCTCCTTTCCCTCTACTTCCTTTGCACATTGTTCACACCATGTCATAAAGTACACTGCGGGGAGACACGTGCCTTGATATGTAGAAAACCCACTTCAGAGGAAAGAACACAAAACCGTATGAGGCAGTCATCACCTTAATGTGAGCTGGCAAAATGTAATTTATCCATAAAATTGGTATTTCCTAGATCCTTAAAATTGATATAGCAATGTATAAATCACCTTAAATCATATTTTAAATATTCAACATGACTTTAGAAACCCTTTAACTCTTAGTGCTTAAGAACAAGTTGATATAGAAAAATTTTAATCATTAATAAATAAAAGTTTTTAAAAAATACCAATCATTTAACCACTTTCTATATACTATGTCTTATTTTATGAGCATAATTTAGAACATATCAGTGATGAAGAGAAGAATAACACTAACTTCTTTAGAGGGAACAAATGTAGCATTTACTTTATGCTTCTGAAAATTTAGAAGTCTGAGGTATATTCTAAAGTATATAATTATGCACAATTTATGTAATTCAAAGTAACTTTGAACTTTTTTGAGGACAAAATTATTCATGTGCAATTTGCTTCTAATTTTGAAAAGAATAATGAATAATATCTTCCTAAATGACTGAAAGAAATACTACACAATTACCAAGCTTAAAAAAGTATGAACTTCAAAACAACTGAGCAAATGAACACTCACTTCAAAAATGACTTCTTCACAAAATCCCTTGAAGTTTTACAAGTTCTTTATTATACAATTAAAGTAAAATCGGAATTTTATAATTTTATTTGAATATGCCCTTTGACACACTTGTAGAGTAGAAAGTTTTGCTCTGTAGAGTTTAATAGCTTATTTCATGTATAACAGACCAAATTTCTTAACTAGCACTTTAGTTTTCTTACTGCTGTAACATTCTACTACTGCAATACATTTATAGAATAAACGCAGGTACACATACTTCATTCTTACAACCAACTGACCACAAATAAATTGTCTGACTTCGCACTTCTTCCTAGGCCTCCCAGCAACTGTGCAACCATTCACTTAATGTAGAATTCTTTACCCTGGCTACCACTCAACCATGAAAAGCTGAAGAGGCAGTGGTATTTCAGGTAAGCAAGTTAATTTGCATAGAAAGCACTAATTAGCATGTGATCTGGATTTACTGGAGGAAAAGAAATGTGACAACTGAAATAAATACATTCACTAAGCTTTATCTCTCTTTTCTTGAACATTTTTGGTGGAGCTTTGATAATATATGTAGTCTTAGTAGTCTGTGTTTTGAAAGTCAAATGCCAACAGGGAATAGTAGAAGCTGGGTGGGGAATGGTGGTAAATGGATGTGGTATTATTAGAAGAGTATCATCATTATAATCAAACTGTTCATTATAATGTGATAACTTCTAATGAGGTTTCGAAAGGAAGCAGTTAGCACATTCTGGGAGAGCATGTACAGAGTAGCATTCAATAAATATTTGGTTGGTTCCACAGCTGGCTCATGGACCCAGT